ATATATCAATCCCAATATCTCCCAATTCATCCCACCACCTCCCCAACCCCTCTGCTTTCACCCCCTTGGTATCCATACATTTGTTCTCTACATCCGTGTCTCTTCTCTCTTTTTTTTCTGGCAGTCTAGCTAGAGATTTCTCAATTTCATTGATATTTTCAAAGACCCAGGTTTTAGTTTCATTGAATTACTCTCCTGTTTTTCCATTATCAGTTTCATTACTTTGTGCTCTTAATAGTCTCTGCCTTGTGCTTATTTTGATTTCAAATAGCTCTTTTTTCTCAAGCTTCTTAAAACTGAAGCTTAGATCACTAATCTAAAATTTCCGTTTTCCTAATGTAAATATTTAATGCCAAAAATTTCCCTCTAAGTATTGATTTGACTGCATCCTTCACATTTTGATATGCTGTTTTTTTTCTTTCATTCAATTAAAAATATTTTCTAATTGCACTGTGAGTTCCTCTTTGACCCATGGGATATTTAGAAGTATCTTAATGTCCAAATATTTGGGAATTTCCAGGTATCTTTGTTATTGATTTTTAGTTTAATTCCATTGTGGTTGGAGAACAGGCTTTGTATACTTTCAATTCTTTTAAATCTTGGCTTGCTTTATGATACAGAATATGGTCTCTCTTGATGAATATTCCATACTCACTTGAAAAGAATGTATATTCTGTTGTTGCTGGGTAGAGGGACCTACAAATGACTATTAGTTGATGGTGCTTTTCAGGTGTTTTCTTTCTTACTGATTTTATGTCAAGTCATTTTGTTGATTACTAACAGAGGAGTGTTGAAGGCAGGGGCCAGTCAATCATGAAAGTCCTTTTTAGCTAAATTAAGGAGTATGAAGCTTACCCTGAGTTATGGAAGCTGACAGGGAGATTAACTTTAAGAAAGGGAATAATAAGATTAAAAAACTTTTTTTAGAAAACTTGACAAGATTGAAAATAGGTTGGAGGAGAGCTAAAGTAGAGACGGGGAGAACCGGGGAGGCTTTTAACAATAATCAAGGAGAAACATGTACTTGAATTAAGGCAGTGGCTCTGAGAATAATCAAGAAAAAACAGACTTAAGGAGATAATAAGAGAGAAGAATCTGATAAACAACTGGGTGAGAGATGGAGAGGAATGGGTAAAAGGGAAGAGGCAATTATGATTCTCAGTTTCTGGTTTGGATTAGTTAGTATATAAGGGATAACATTTACCAAAATAGAAAAATACAAGAAGAGAAATGGATTTGAGGGAAATTCCCAATTTCAACATGCTGAGATGAAGGTTCTTGTAAAATATTCATGAAAGATGTCAATTAAGCTATGTGGGCTCGGCAGAGAGGTCTACACTATAGATATAGATTTATGTCATCTATTATAGATTTATGTCATCGGCACATATTATTAATTGAAACCATAGTTTTGGATGAAGTTATTGAAGATCAGCATATAAACCAGTGTTTCTCTAAATGTCACCCTAAAATTATCTGCAGATTATTAAAACTCAGATTCCTAGACACCATTTTAGATTAAATTTATCTAAGACTCATAGGCTGAAACCAAGGTGTTAGCTGGGCTGTATCACTTATTGAAAGCTCTGAGGGAGACTGCACTTCCAGGCTCATTCAGGCTGTTGGCAGAATTCAGTTCTATGGAGCTGCAGGACTGAGGTCCTTGTTTCCTTGCTAGTTGTTGTCTGAGTGCCACCCTTCACTCTCAGAGCCTTCCCTCTAGTCTTTGCAGGTAGCCCCTTACATCTGAGAACCAGCAGCAGCTTATCCTTCTCACGTTGCCACATCTCTTGACTCTTCTGCTTTCCTCTTCCACTTTAAAGGGTCTGTGTGATTACATTAGTCTCTCCTAGAACATCTAAAATAATCTCCCTACCCTAAAATCTGTAACCTTAATTCCATCTGCAAAGTCCACTTTTCCTTGTAATGTAACATATTCACAGGTTCCAGGGATTTGGGAATGGACATCTTTGGGGCGCCAGTATTCTGCCTACCACAAGCGGTCTGATACAAGTCATTTTGTAGACATATATTTTCATTTCTCTTGGGTAAATATCTTGGAGTAGAATTGCTGGTTCATAGTGCAGATACATGTGTAACTCTATAAAACACTGGGCACACAGCTGAATAAAGACTACATCACCTATCTTTCCTTCTTGTTAGTGTGTCACTGACTAAGAACTGGTTAATGGGTTGTAAGTGGATGTGTCATATGCAACACCTGAGAAGTGTCCTTAAAGAGAAAAGTATGTGCCTTTCCATCAAGCTTCCCTCTTGCTATGAGCAGGTGGCATTTGGAATTAAAGCAGTCATCTCAATCATGAGGTAGCATGCTAAGGATGGCAGAACAGCAAGACAGAGGAATCTGAATCCCTGATGATCACAGAGCTGCTGCCATACCATCCGTGGTCTGCCTACCTATAGAATCATATGCATATTTAAGCCATTATTATATTTTCTATGTAATGAAACCAAATCCAATTCTAACACATCACAGTTTTAAGTATCTATATGCTAGTGATCCCAAAGTGGTACCTTCAGCCACAATCTTTCCAGACTCATGTATCCAACAGCTACTGGAACATTTCCACTTGGATGTAAAACAGGCCTTTCAAACTTAACTGTCCAAAACAGAATTCTTTATTTTTTCTCCCTGAACTCTTCCTCCTCTCATTCTCCTTATCAGCACCAAACAAATAGTAAATGGTTTTTTATGATAAATGGTGAATGATCTACCTCAGAGCTCAAGCAAAAAACACATATGTTGGCCTTGATTCCTTGTTTTCCCCTCACCTTGTATCCAAACCATGCACAATTCTTGTTCTCTGCCATCAAAATATAACCCAAATCCTGCCACTTTTTTCCATCCTCACTGTTACTACTCTAGTGCAAGTCACCATCATCTCTCATTTGCAATGGCATCCTCAACGGTGCTTTTGTAGCTTAAAAAATCCTTCCCAGAGAGATGAAAAAGTTCTGGAGATAGGTAGTAGTAATGGTTGCATGATAACATGAATATCACTGAACTGTACACCTAAAAGTGGCTAAAATGGTAAATCTTATGTTACATGTATTTAACCCAAATAAAACAAACAAAAAAGAAATCTTTCCTAGAGACAACATAGCCTCCTATATTTCCTTTTTTTTTCTAAGTATTTTTCATGTGTGTCTTTCACACTTAGGTCTTCAATCCATTTGGAAATTACTATTGTGAACGGTGTGAAGTAGGAATATAATTTGTCTTCAATCTATGTGGATATCACATATCTCAGCATCATTTATTGAATACTCTGTGCTTTTGTAATACCAAAGCTTACCAAAGCTAACCTTATACTTAGCTTCCATATGTATGCGGACGTGTTTCTAAGCTCTCTATTCTGTTCCATGAGTCTACTTACCTGTCCCTAAACCAATACCAGTAATTAAGACAGTAGTCTCAATTATCATGGCTTTATATTGTTTTGATATCTGGGAGGAAGAGACTTTATTTTTCTTCAAAATTGAGTTAGCAATTCTGGGTGCTTTGCCTTTTCATATACATGTTAGGTTCAGCATATCAAGTTCCATGAAAAACTATACAGCAATTTTAATTGGAATTGCAGTGAATCTGTAGAATTGGAGAAAACTGACATCTTTATGATACTGAGTCTTCCTATCCCTGAATATGGTATATCTCTCCATTTACCTGGGTCTTCTTTTATGTGTTTCAGTAGAGCATTATAATTTTCTCCTTAAAGGACTATGCAGCTTTAGTCTGATTTATTTCCAGATACCTTCAGTTTTTAATACAGTTATGAATAGTATCTTTTTTATTATTAAAATTCCTAGTTAGTTATTGCTGGTGTGTAGAAGTTACTGTTTTACTCAGAAATCTGCTTGAACTGAAGGCCATTTCTGATGACCTCCTAACCAAAGAAGCCCTCCCAGTCATTCTTTATAACTTCACATCAGTTACCCCTTCTTGTTAACTGATTTTTAGTGTCCCTCTCCCCCACTATAATTAGTTGCTTGTTCACCATTGTATAGAATAGGGTCTGTGAATACATAATTGTGCAAAATCTCTGCTGAATAAATAAATGAGGTCTTAAATCTGGATGATTTGGAAAAATACAGGAAGAAAAGGAGATTTTGAAGTGAGGGTGGAGTGAGAACTAGTTCAGTTTGAGAGGCGGTGTTTAGAGTTCTCACAGGTCATTAATGTGCAGGCATCAGGCCAGCTCCTGGAGCACAAGAATGGAGGTTTGATGTGATGGAAGTGATGAGACCGTCAAGGAGGAGAATGCATTCAAGAAGGAAAAAAAGAAAATATACTTGAGAAGAACTATACCTGGGTCAGATTAAAGAGAGAGGGAGCGAGCATGCACAACAACATGGAAACCAACCGGACGGGAAAGATTTGAAGCACAGGAAGAGGGAAATAAATGGAAGAGCTAGGTTCGTAAATCACATGAACACACAATTAGAGAAGTACAATTTCATCTAAGGAACAGAAAGCAAGAACCTCATTTCTCCATTGGTAAAGCCAATTGGAGAAAGAGACCGCTCTATTAGACCACAGATCCGAATTTGGGGAGGAGAGTAATTTTACTTTACTCTGGGTCTTTCACTTTAATATGACAATTACCGGGCTTGGAGGACCTAGCAGCATTCAATCTATTCAACCTCTCGGGTCACAGCTAGACGATGCCTTCTGAAAGGTTCGGATTTAAACGAGGAGACTGTTTCCTCCTCATTTTCATCGTCTTGCCGTGACCACCGCGCCCGGGCTAATGGTACCGGCAGGTGCTCTTTAGGCCTTGGATTGTAACTAGAGAAGAGTGGCAACCGGGAAAGAAGAGTAGGGCTGCCGAGGCTGCGAGAGAGGCCCTCACCTCACGCCCAGCGGCGGGTCAGCGGGTCAGTCAGGGGCCGCGCCCCGTCGCCGCCCTCCCCACTCCCCGCCGTGCCCGGCTTCGCCAGGGCCCCAGCCCGCCCCCACGAGCCCAGCCTTCCCTTCCTACCTGCCGGCACGCGGACTCAGCCAGCCCCGAGCTGTTCACCCGGGACCTGGTCGGCAGGGAGACCACCACTCTCCGCCGCTCCCTGCCCGCGCGCGTCCCCAACCAGCGGCTGGCTGCACGTGACCCCGCCCTCACCGCACGCCGCCCCGCCCCCTCAGCCGAGCCCGCGCCCCGCCTCCCGCCGGCGTGCTCCACCCACGAGCCCGTCGCTGTCGCGATGACGTAATCGGCGCAAGCGCACTCTGTCGGCGACGCTGAAGTGCTGCTGCATCTGTGGGCGGAGGTTCGTGGCTTTGGCTCTTGGCGCAAGAGGGGAGAGTGGGGTGCCTGGAAGGTAGAGGGGTCTCAAAGAAAAAGAGGAGGAGGGGGAAAGTCCCAGAAGCTTGTCTTTCAGGTGCGGGGGTATAGGGCGGTGTTCTGCCCCCTTTCTGGGCCCTTTCTGACGAGGCCGGGCGGCTGCCCCGCGGGAATTGAACGGTGGATTTCCTTCGGGGAGGCACTGCCCGGTACCCAAGTGTAGAAATTTAAGAAGGGTTAACTTCGCGTGCGCTGAGTGGTTTCTTTTCCTTCAAGCGCACATCATTGGGGAACATATTTTGTTTGGCAGAGAAACACAAGATCTGGAGACATGGATTGTACTTTTTTTTTTTTTTTTTTTTGTCGGGAGCTGCGGCTTAATCTTTCGCTCCTTTTCGTCTACAAAACGAGGTGGTCGGACTCACCATGTAATTTTTAGGTCCCCTTTCAGAGCTACCATCCTGTGATTCCTGTCTCCAAGGATATTACCTTTTATCATACTCCTGAGTAGGAAAAGAAATCGTTTGATTAGTGGACATGTTTTAGACCTGGATTGGGCACACTGCTGTGGAGTTAGGGCCCATGCTTTCATTAGGTTTGACAGCGGGCAGAATTTTTTGCAAGTAAGATTTATGCGTTGTTAATATTCCAAATAGACTCATTTTAATTTTGCTAAAAGATCAGAATATCTGTATGTTTTCCTAATGTTAGCTTTATGTCTTTCATAGACTTATATGTTTAGTCTTGGCATTTAATTTTTTGCCTCTTTTCAGAAGTAAATCACCAAAGGATATTGAAGTTGATGCTTTTGTGTTTTGTCACCTTATCCTTTTATTAGCATTTTTAAGGTCATCTGCACCTTCTGACTTGGAAAAGATGGTCAACGTCTTGAAAGGAGTGCTTATAGAATGGTTAGTAGTTTTGATACTTAACAAATTTTAAATCTGCACATTGAATCTTGATTTGTATGTGTATCCCTTACAAAGTACATTTTTTTCTTTTGTTCTTAAGATTTGAATGAATCAAGTTTTTCAGCTTTCTCAACTGCATTTTTCTTACTTAATAACAAGTGGGACAGATGGTGGGTTTTTTTGGATTTTTAGAATTTTATTTTTTTATACAGCAGGTTCTTATTAGTTATCCATTTTATACATATTAGTGTATATATGTCAATCCCAATCTCCCAGTTTCCCGGTTCATCAAATGGGACAGATTTCGTTGCTAAGTTTCTTCCTGGTGCCAGATTTCAATGTTTCTGTTGAATAGATGCAATTGGCATTATTTCCAAGAAGTTTTGGTCAGCGGTAGCATGTTTGTTACATTAACCCTCTTTAGGGGAACAGTGCTTGTATTCTCAAATCGTCAGGGATTGACTAGAATTTTAGGGTCTGCCTAAGTCACACAAACTTTGGTCTTTAAAAAAGAGAAAAAAACAAGAGAGCGAGTTGAAGGTTTCTTAAACTAGGCACACATTCCAAAGGAGAAACTAGAAACTATGGGTAGAGTTGAGCTCCTCAAAGCTAATGTAGGGCTTAATTATCCCTAGTCTGAAAATCTGAACTGTTGGACCAGTCTTGCTCAGTCTCCACTTGTTTGTTTGCCCCACCAAACAATTCTGTCTCATCTGGGAGTCCTGCCCAGTGGACACTCGCATTGTTTGAAATTACTACTGTCTACATTTCTCTGCCTCTAATGTGAGCCATTATGTGGATGACCGTACTGTTTCTGTGATGGCAAGGCTGGGGGAGGAGCAAGACCAAACCCTGGGGATCTCTGGCATTTAGAGTAGCACTGTCCAGTAGAAATATAATGTGAGCCACGTATGTAGTCTTAAATTTTCTAGTAGCCACACTAAAAGGTAAAATGAAACAGGTGAAATTAATTTCTTAACTCTATACCCAAAGTATTTTACCAGGTACTAAAATACACATTGGATTTTGAAGCTCTAGTATGAAAAAAGACAATACAATAAATTGTATTGTCGGTGAAGCCAGTGAAGTAGGAGGGAAACCAAGGGAATGGTTGATGAAAGCGAGTTGGCTGTGTCAAGTGCTGATGAGAGGTGGGGTAAGATGAAGACACACTGGAGGTCATCGGTTTTTTATGAGAGCTTTTTAATGGAGAGGTGGGACAGATGCCAGATTGGAGTACTTTGGAAAGGGAAAGGGGGGCAAGGAAGTGTAGAGACCAGGTGGAGGAGTTTTGTTGTGATAATCAGCAAAGGAATAAAGAAGTGGGTCGGTAGCTGAAGAAGGATATGTTAAGGAACTCTGGTTCTTGTTATTTTCATTGTTTTAAAGTGAGAGACTACAATGTATGTTGATAAAAATAAACCGCTAGAGAGGAGAGAGGTGTTCACTTGGGAAAGCCAAGAGGCGGATTGAGATCCCAGAAATTCTAAGCATGCTGTGCTGTTGTCTTTTGGAAAACACTTCTAAGCTAATTTTTGTATTTTATTTTTCTTATTACTTTGTCATAATTAATAGAAACATTTTCCTGGTTGGTCTTTTTTTAATTATTTTATTTATTTATTTACTTATTTTTGGTCAAGTCGGGTCTTTGTTGCTGTGCGCGGGCTTTCTCTAATTGTGGCAAGCGGGGGCTACTCTTCGTTGCGGTGGCTTCTCTTGTTGTGGAGCGCGGGCTCTAGGCGTGCGGGCTTCAGTAGGTGTGGCTCGCGGGCTCTAGAGCGCAGGCTCAGTAGTTGTGGTGTACGGACTTAGCTACTCCGCAGCATGTGGGATCTTCCCGGACCAGGACTCAAACACGCGTCTCCTGCATTAGCAGGCGGATTCTTAACCATTGTGCTACCAGGGAAGCCTCTGGTTGGTCTTTTAACATTATTTTTAACACAGAGGATACACACACACACAGTGTCGGCTATCAGTTTTTTCCCTTTTGTTTCTTCTGATTTTTCTAAAGTTAATCTTCATTCTGGATTTGATCAATATTCACCTCTGTCCTAGGGTTTTCATATTTTTATTTTCATTGATATTTTGAGTTTCATTCATCTAGAATTTATTGAGAGGAGGGGCATATTATGAGGTGAAGATCTAAATTAGCTGCCTTTTTTTTGGTCAAATAGCTGAACAATTGTCCAACACCATTTATTTCCTTCCCTAATGATGTGTGATGACTCCTTTATCACAGAGTTTCACTCCCCTTGCTACTCTCCCTAATCCCATCCCACATCCATTTTTTTCTTTGTCATTGTTACCTATTCGAGAATATCCTTGGAATAATTTAGTCTAGTTCCAAAATAATCCTTTTGGAATGATGGTTGGGATTGTATTACACCTATATTTTATTTTTTTTTAATAATGCTAGGCTGCATTTTAAGGAGCAAAACTTTGGGAAACTCAAAATTTTGGTGGTAGACTTTCAATTTAGCCATAAGAACAAAGAGTACAGATTTGTAAGAGGAACTGAGGTTTAGTTTTCTTTCCTGATCCGGCAAGGTCTCTGCTAGTTTGCTTGTTACCAGCCTCTGAATTCTGCCTGGGTGCTAAACAACTTGCTTTTCCATGTATTCTCCAGACTAGCAGCAGCAGCAGCATCTGGAGCTTGTTAGAAATGAAAATTTTCAGACCTCACCCCATTTCTACTAAATCAGAATTGTGCATAAAAAAGGATCTTGACACAGTGCATTTTAAGTTTGAAAAGCACTTAATCAGCTTAAGTTTGATAATTAGTTCCCGTATGGAGAATGGTTTTGCAGCAAGACTACAGTGTACTTAAATTTTATTTTGCAGATGGATACTATCCTTGCAAAACTATTTTTTCCCTTCAAAGTGAAGTCTAAAGTGTAGCCTGCACAACTTTTCAAAAGGGTAACTGTCTTCCCAAAGATACAGATCTTCCAAGAAGACTCCAGGCCTAAGCAATAATAGATTCATAAAGGGCATGGCCAGGGCCTGTGGGTCCTCCTTCATGTGTAGGTGCACATGTTGGGATGATGGTAACTAAAGTCCTTCAGTTTCCCTCATGTCTATATTTGATTCCAAAGAGAAGAGTGTTAATAATACAGTATCAGCATAAGTCCGTTCTTATCTCATAATATCCATAGATTATACGAAGCATTTAGGTGTATTGGAATGCAGATCTACATTAAAACAAATAAACCAGAGTATAATGTTGGCCATTTAGGCCCAACTATCAGTGAATTGAAAAATCAAAGTACTTGGATATAATAAGGTTCTCTCCTCCCAAGGCTTATCAAATACCACAAACTAAAGTTTTTTGGGGGTTTTTTTGTGGGTTTTTTTTTTGCGGTACGCGGGCCTCTCACTGTTGTGGTCTCTCCCGTTGCGGAGCACAGGCTCTGGACGCGCAGGCTCAGCGGCCATGGCTCACGCGCCCAGCCGCTCCGCGGCATGCGGGATCTTCCCGGACCGGGGCACGAACCCGTGTCCCCGGCATCGGCAGGCGGACTCAACCACTGCGCCACCAGGGAAGCCCAGTTTTTTGTATTTTTATGTCAAAATGAGATTGTTGAAAACTTCCTCTTTGTTGGGATCCACCACTATCGACTGCCAGCCTCACACCAAGTGTTTTCCCGAGTCTAGCCAACCATAGCAGTTACCGAAGCAAGCAGCATATGCTCAGCAAATGTCTGCGTCCAATTCCAGGTGCTAGAGCAGACCTCTGGTGTGACATTTATCACAGTTGGTTTGGCAAGTGCTTCAGCCAGGAAGATTTGTTGTACAGCTGCAAATTGCAGCCAGTTTATAGCACAACAGCAAAGAATCTGGAGAAACAGGTATTATTAGACCAGTCTTGTCCTTATGGGTTTGGCTTCCAAACCTCTACTGTATATGAAAA